AAAAAAAAAAAAAAAAAAAAAAAAAAAAAAAAAAAGAGTAATACATTCAAACATCCTTACTGTTTATTAGTTTATTAGTTTGGGAGGTCTTGCTGTTTTCAGTTTCACTGAGACAGAGTCTCTATATTTAGCCCAGGCTGACCTTGAACTTGCTAAATAGGGCACACTAGCTTCTGCTCCTGCATGCTAGGATTTTCAGGCATGCACCACCATGCCTGGGCAGTCATTCTTATTGTTAGCCTTTCTCCCCTCGAGGTATATCCCTTACCTCTGGGCTCAACTCCTTTAGTGTTCAGGATATGATTTTGGTGCATGGAACCCTATGTGCACAGCATACTGGAGACAAAAATAAAAATATGTTTCATAGGGTTTTGAAACTCTTAGCTTTATCTGTTCAATTTTTAGACTGTAGAGGTTCGTTTAGCAGTACATTTCTGAAGCACAGACTTCAGCCAAATGAGCCTTACCGCACCTTCTAAGTCAGACATGTATGAAGCTTTGTCGGGGTCCCCTGCTGACAGTGAAGACAGCCTTGTGACAGTGAAGGTGGAGGATCCCACCTGGGAGCAGCCAGGCAGCTCACAGGCGGCAGGACCCATGCTCGGGAACTTCACCGTCTGAGATTTAGGCAGTTCTGTTACCAGGAGGCCCCTGGGCCCCGGGAAGCTCTGGCCCAGCTTTGGGAACTTTGCCGTCAATGGCTGAGGCCAGAGACCCACAGCAAGGAGCAGATCCTGGAGCTGCTGGTGCTGGAGCAGTTCCTGATCATCCTGCCCAAAGAACTCCAAGCCTGGGTACAGATGTATCGTCTACAGAGTGGGGACAAGGCAGCGGCATTGCTAGAGAATCTAGCCTCAGATGTGGAGACTCAGGACAGCAGGTGGGAAAGTAATGAATGTGCTAGTGTGAGAGAAATAGGGGGAGGCATGTGCGTTTGCTAGTGCTTAACCTTTTATTCTGAATTAATTAGAGAGGGACCACAAAGACAGCATAGAGTGCTTTGTCCTCTTCACACAGACGTAGCTGTTGCTAACACTAGTTCCATGATATGCCCCACCTACCCCATCCATTTTTCTACAAGCCAAATTCATTATTTTTGCATAGGCATGCACATTTATGCAGACTTTCCCCCCCTTAACCAACTGTCAATTATTTATTCCATTTAAGATCAGGTTTTTCTTTAAACGTTTTAGCTCCTTGAGTACTGGACTTAGCTCCATTATACTTCCTAGTGCTCCTTTTCTCCTCAAATTATACATTCTGTGTTTTTCCTTGCTCAGTTTGCTCCATTTCATTATAGATCTACACAGCAAACTCACTCAGACAGGCTCTCCTCAGTATCCGGGGACTCAGCAATCAAGGCAGGCAAGACAGACAAAGGATCTGTCCCCAGAAACACACAATGAGCTACAGGCAAAAATGTAATGAGGACTAGGGTCTGTACACTATCCCAAAATATCTTCCACACACTACAAAATAACTACAAAGGGGGAAAATGATAATTCTCTAGAGAAGACATCTTGACAAGCACTCCCTTGACCTTGTGAGGAAAGGGCAAAATCCTCCCTCCGTGCCTGTGAAGACTGACAGGAGAAGGCACTGCCCTCTGTGCAAGATATGGAGCAAAGTGGACAGCGAGGTGGTCACATTCAGATTGTAAAAGCATTTCCTTGATCTTCATAAATATATACTGACATACTTGGAGGTAAAGGGACATATTTACAATTAATTGACAGTTGGTTAAGGGGGGGAAAGTCTGCATAAATGTGCATGCCTATGCAAAAATAATGAATTTGGCTTGTAGAAAAATGGATAGTCATGATGAGAGCAATTTATATAATGAAATCTGTAATCACTAATATATCTATAATCACCACACAGCAGAGTCAGTACTAGCCTGACTTGAAATCTCTCTGCCAATGCCATTAATCCAAAACTCTTCAATTTAGCCTCAGGCAGATTTTTTTGGACAAGGGCAGAAAGCAGCCACATTCTTCACCAAGATACCAAAAGAACTGTCACTGTCTGAGTGAGTTTGCTGTGTAGATCTATAATGAAATGGAGCAAACTGAGCAAGGAACTAGGCCACTTACTAATGTCTTCTCCGCTGGAACCTCTTGAGTTAGGCCATCATAATATAAATTGCTCTCATCATGACTATCTCCCATGACCCTACTAGAATGTCCCATTAAGCCCCACTTAAAGCATTCAACTGCTTTCCTAATGCAAGGTCCCAAAGAACACGTTCTACCAAGTAGCATGGTCAGCCCTGTCACAGCAATACCTTACTCCCTAGCACCGACTTCTATCTTAGTTGCTGTTTTTATTGCTGTGAAGAGACACCATGGCCATGGCCACTCTTAAAAAAGAAGGCATTTCATTGGGGCTAGCTCACAGTGTCAGAAGTTATCATGGAGAGAACTCGGCAGCATACAGACAGACATGGTACTAGAGAAAGAGTTGAAAGTTCCACATCTTGATCTGCAGGCAGCAGGAAGAGAGACACTGGAACTGGCGAGGGCCTTTGAAGCCCCAAAGTCCACCCCCAGTGAGACACTTCTTACTCCAACAAGGCCACATCTCCTAACCCCTCTCAGGAAATGCCACTCCCTGATGAACAAGCATTCAAATCTGTGAGCCTGTGGGGGCCATTCCTGCTCAAACCACCTTACCATCTTGAGCTCTTCATCCGCTTTTTTCTTTTTCTATTAGATGCTGGTGAAAACTGGGAAAGAAACAGCGCAGGCCTTTGCCTCAGAGGAGTGGTTCCGTCTGGCTCTGAGGAGGCTCTGTGGGGCCTCAGCTCAGCAGGAGGCCAGGGGTGTAATAAGTAAGGACAGCGGCTCTGGCTGGCTCCATTTGTGCTTTTCTTTTCCCATCACTGACCCCAGCCTCCTTGGCCGTTGGGGGCCCACACATGCTGTGGGTTCCCGCCCTCCCTCCTGCCTTCTGCCTGCAGACCTATCTATCGTAGCCCTTGCTGTTTTACAGCGCCTGTAAGAATACAAATACTTTATTGTTTCCTATAACAGACACTTGGAGGTAGCTAGTCTGATGTATCGGTCCTAATGTGATTTCAGAGGTCAAGCCTCTGGAGCCCCACATTCCTCTTCCAGTCCTACGTCCTACCCTTCTCCCTTACCTCACTCTTCCCCGTTTCCCACTGCCAGATCCTGACCTCACCACATCGGCCCTAGTGCACCATGGCTCTTGGGATTTAGATTACATCATTGAAAGGCTTTAATGTCGTGACGGAATTCATAATAGCATCTCAAAAGGAATGTATTGAGCCGGGTGTGGTTGCGCATGCCTACAATCCCAGGACTTAACGAGGCTTGGGCAGGAAAATAGGATTGCCTTTATTTCAAGCTCAGCCTAGGCTACGTGGTAAGTTCTGGGCTACAGAGTGAGACTGTCTCAAAAAAAAAAAAAAAAAAAAGAGCAATAAGGGGCTGGAGAGATGGTTCAGTGGTTAAGAGTTCTTGCTGCTCTTTCAAAGGATGGAAGTCTGGCTCCCAGCACCCACTCTGGGTGGCTCACAACTCCTTGTAACTCCAACTCCAGGGGATCTGACACACCTGGCCTCCTTGGGCACCTGAGCTCACATGTACGTTCCACACACATATACATGTAATTAAAAAGTCAAATAAAAATCTTTACACAAAAAGCCAGCAGGCTGGCTGAGCAGGTAAGGGTACTCGCCGTGCAGGTCTGATCGAGTTTCATCCCAGGGTCCCACGATGGAAGGAGAGAGCCAGCTCCCAAAGCTGTCTTCTGACTGCCACTGGTTGCCCAGAGGCTCATGAACTTCCTCTCCCAAGTCACACAATAGCAAATAAAATGGCAGCTGACTCCGTAGCAGGTGAGGAGCGCACCACCCAAGCCTGACGGCCTGACTTCAGTCTCCAGAACCCACAGAAGGGGAAGGAAGGGACTCCACAAGGTGTCCGTTGACTCCCACGCAAGCACTGTGGCCCACTCAGACAGCAGTAAGGAGTAAGGTTACCTGTGCCAAATAAGACTTTTCATCTTTAGTTTAGCTTGCTTCCTGTCGATCCCGCACAAACTCGTTCAAGTGCAGTGACTCTGAGTTTCTGTTTGTTTCTCCTCAGAGAAATGTATCTACCAAGATGAATATAAAGCTAAGCGATGCTAAGTCCTTCCTTGCTCAGAAATCCCAAGAGTTGTGAGGAGACCTAGTAAATAGTGAATTGACATAAGATCGTGTCCAGGTAAAGAGAAAACAGGGACACAGGAGAGGGACAGATGGTTCTGGAAATCTCAAGTTCCTGCTACCAGAAGCTAGCCGGGATAAGGAGGTTGGAGGCAGAGCTAACCAGGCTCTTCGTGGTAGAAGAGTGCTCCTGTAGAGGCCTGCCAGCACAATAGGTGCCCCGAGCAGCCTAGACGGTCTGCATCCTGCTCCTGTAGGACCCAGGGGGCGGGGGGAGTGGGGGAGGGGCAGGGGGAGGGGCCAGGGGCAGGGGGAGGGGGCAGGGGGAGGGGGCGTACGGTGCTCAGTGGGCCAGCTTCTCAGATTCTGCAGTTAGTTATGACACAGGAGTGGGTGAAAGGCGGGGAGAGGTCAGAGTGCCAAGTGTAGCAAGTCTTCCCTGGGAAACAAGGAATAGAAAGTAGATCCGCCCAGAAAAACAACGATTCTACTTTGTCTTTGTCAGGTGTGGAGAAAGAGATTTGGGTTCTTTTGTTTTGTTTGTAGAGCATGTTCTGTTTTCTTTCTCAGAGCTTGTGCGCCCCACATTCCTGGTTGTACTACTTTCCCTACGGAAAAGACAGTCTCTCAAGGTTGAACACTCTCAGGAACTGCCACCCACCCCGAGACTCCCGGGCCAGGATGCACATCACATCCTTGCAGTATGCAGCTGGAGACATCACTCGGAAAGGGAGGAAAAAGACAAATCTCGAGTGAGCGAGCTGCTTCAGGGCCTCGCGTTTTCTGATGACTCAGAGGCAGAGGAAGACAATGAGTCTGGGGTGCAGCCTCAGAGAAAGAAGCTAAAGGTGTCCACTGTCCCCGAGAAGAACTGGACTAAAAGAGACATTAAGCCCAACTTTCCAAGCTGGTCAGCACTGGATTCTGGACTTTTGAATCTCAAGAGTGAGAAGTTGAACCCAGTAGAGCTCTTTGAATTATTTTTTGATGATGAAACGTTTAACTTGATTGTCAATGAAACCAATAACTATGCTTCTCAGAAAAATGTCAACTTGGAAGTCACAGTGCAGGAAATGTGGCGTGTGTTTGGTGTCCTGCTCTGGAGTGGACTCGTAAGGCATCCCAGGAGGGGAATGTATTGGGAAATCTCTGATGCTGATCAGACCCTGGTTAGAAATGCAATTAAAAGGGACAGATTTGAATTGATTTTTCTCATGCCTGCATTTTGCTGATAATAGCCACCTAGATCAAAAAGATAAGTTTTCAAAATTGAGGCCTCTAATGAAGCAAATGACTAAGAATTTCCTCCTGTACGCCCCACTAGAAGAATACTGTTGTTTTGGCAGGTCAATGTGTGAATGCTTTGATAATGACCAATTTCTGAATGGAAAGCCTCTTGGAATTGGCTATAAAATGTGGTGTGGTACAACCACACAAGGCTACCTAGTTTGGTTTGAGCCCTACCAAGAAGACTCAGCTGCGGAAGCAGATGAGGAGCTGGACCTTGGGCTAGGTGGGAATCTAATAATGAGCTTTGCTGCTGATCTTTTGCAGAAAGGTCACTATCCCTATCCCCTGTGTTTCGATGGCTTCTTTACAAGTGTTAAACTGATGTCAGCTTTGAAGAAGAAGGGAGTGAAGGCTACAGGATCAGTTCGTGAAAACAGGACCAAAAAATGCCCGCTCATGAATGTAGAACACATGAAAAAGATGAACGGGGGTATTTTGATTTCAGGGTGGGAGAAAATGATGAGATAATTTTATGCCGTTGGCTTTGTGATGGCTTTATTAGTCTGTGTTCGAATGCTGTAGGCATAGAACCAGTCAGTGAAGTAAACTGTGTTGCTGATGATGAAGAGCTCCTTCAGGTAAGCCAACCATCCATAGTGAAATTGTATGAGGAATTCAGGAAAGGTGTGGCTAAAATGGATCAAAGTATTTCCAAATATAGGGTGGGATTAAGAAGTAAGAAATTGAGCCGGGCAGTGGTGGCGCACGCCTTTAATCCCAGCACTCGGGAGGCAGAGCCAGGCGGATCTTTGTGAGTTCGAGGCCAGCCTGGGCTACCAAGTGAGTTCCAGGAAAGGCGCAAAGCTACACAGAGAAACCCTGTCTCGAAAAACCAAAAAAAAAAAAAAATGCAGGCAATATCATACCCTATAGAACAGCACTGAATCCATAATCCAAAATAGATATACTGCTCATGAGGGAAGAATGTTCTGAACAAGACAGGTGTAAATATCTCAGCTGAATCACACCATGTGTAGTTGAGACAGGGCCAGTTGTGAAATTGAAGTACAGGGATGGAAGTGTGAAACTGTACCTTTGAATACTGAAGGAAATGTTATGACTATGAGTTGGAAGAAGTCAAAATGAGAAAGGTCATGAAGCAAGTTGAGTAACAATAGTTATCTTGAGAAGAAAGCAAGTAGAGGGCTACTGGCAAAAGCCCATGGTTAAGTCCCATAAGATGAATGAGTCTGGATTGAGGTCATCATTGATGTTTATCTAGTGGGAGACATTTGGAACTATGACTCCATAGTGCTAAAGTCTCATAGGGGTGGCTTAGGCTAAAGACAAAGATTCTACATCATCTCTGTGTTTTAGACAATTTTCTCTCAATATTTGTTTTATTATGTATGTATCTGTGATAGAATGATATCTTAGTTACTTTTCAATTGCTGTGACAACTTATAAAACAATGTGTTTATTGGGGGTTGCATTTCAGAGGTTTACAGTTTGTGACCATTACCATGGGGAGCATGGCTGGCAGGCGTGGCACTGAGCAGTAGCTGAGAGTTTAAACCTTTATCCACAAGCACAAGGCAAAGTGCCAATTAGGAATGGTCTGGGCTTTGAAACTTCAAAGTCAGTCCTCGGTGACACACCTCTTCCAACAAAGCTACACCTAATCCTTCCCAAACAGTTCTACCAACTGGGGACCAGTATTCAGCATATGAGCCCATGGGGGCCATTCTCATTCACATCATCATTTTTTGTAGTTTGTTATTGTTTTCAGTGCATGAGTCTTTTGTTTGACATATGTCTGTGTACCATATGAGTACCTGGTACCCAGGGAGGTTAGAAGAGGGTGTTGGATCCTCTGGAATTGGATTTACAGGTGGTTATGGGCTGCCATGTGGGTGCTAAGAATTGAATCCAGGCCTGCTGACAGAGTAGCCAGTACTCTCTTAATCACTGAGCCATCTTTGCAGTCCTCTTGAGAGGCAAATTTAAGCCATGTGTAATAATACATTCATCCATGTTTCAGAATATTTCTGTACACTGTGTGAAGATGTGTCACTGTGATTGGTTTACTAAAGAGCTGAATAGCCAATAGCTAGGCAGGAAGAGGATAGGTGGAACTTCCAGGGACAGAGAGGACTCTGGGAAGAAGAAAGGTGAAGTCAACAGCCAGACATGGAAAGGAAACAGGAGGCAGAAGATGGAGGAGAGGTAATGCCATGTAGCAGAATGTAGATTAATATAAATGGGTTAATTTAAGTTACAAGAGCTAGTTGAGACAAACCTAAGCTAAAGGCCAAACTTTCACAATTAATAAATAAGTTCCCATGTCATTATTTGGGGGCTGGCTATCCAAAGATAGTACTGCTACACATGCATTCCAAAAGTCCCTGCCAATCTGTACAAAGGGTGGTCGTGGTTTACCTTGTTGTGTCCCTGCACTAAACACATATGATACTTCTGTCCATACTGTGTTCACTATGCTGTGGGAACAGTGCCTTACAATGTGACTATTTTTATTTAGTGTTTGTCCATTACTAGAAAATAAACTTCCAAAATATGTCTTCTACAGCCACACGGGACATGAAATTAAGTGCTATGTACTATTCAGGGTACTTAAACTTCATTGTCACTTAATTGAAAAATTTAGCTTATCCAAAAAAAGCTGTATCTTTTTTTTCCCAAATAGTCAACTTAATTCTTTTATTACATTTATTTGTGTGAATGTATGTGGGTATACACATGGTGTGTATGTGGAATTCAGGGTACAGGGGGTCCATCCTCTCCATATGGGTTCTAAGAATCAAACTCAGGTCTTCAGGGTTGGAAGTAATCTCTAACCTACCAAGTCATCTTATTACCCTGTCACTCTACTTGAGGACATCAGAGTAAGATAACTTTAGTGAGAAAAAAAAATGCAGGGATCTAGTCTTGGAATTCTCTGAGTATCAGTCAGTGGTTACAAAACTTGGATTTCTGGTTTGCCTATCTGCTTACATATCCTGAAATAAGGTCCAGACTTAGACCTCAGGCTGGGACATCCTAAATATACAATATAAGTAGTAGGGAGTAATTTCTTTACTAAGGCTTCCTTCCCTTCCTTTCCATACAGGGAAATCACAAATGAACATGGAACTTTGTACCCACATGGAATGTCACAAAGGCTAGGAATCTGGGTCTAGAAGAAAGACAATGCCCAATTCAGCTACATGATAAAATTGCTCTCCTGGTTGTATTTACCAGAGTCCTAGGGTCAACTAAGTTTGTGATGATACTGTATACATACCTTAAATTTATCTTTCAAGTTCAAGCTTGAGTCAGTATCAAGGCAATCTCTGGGTCTGTTATCTATCATGTGGCATTCCTCACCTGTAGGACACAGAAGCCTTTGAAACATTTGCTGGTACAAATGAGTTCTGATGTCTAGCATGGTCCTGTGCTGTTGTTCCCTTTGGGGGAGGAGACCAAGTAGGTGCAGAGCCAATGACACAGACTCTGGGAGAATGTTGAAACAACAAGCTCAGTTTATCTAGGAAGAGGCAAGCCTTATATACCCTCCACCCTACCGTGGGGGAAGGTCTGATGAATATGCATCTGCTGGTGTGACATGGCTGCCTCTTATTGGTACAGGTCATCTCCAGATCATGTCTCCTGCTGTTGCTAAGGCCCCTAGGCAGACCCAGGTTGGCTCTCAGGAAGTATCTTATTACGGGTTTGGGCCTGCTGGCCCTCAGGCCTATTAGGGATGAGTCATTCCACACTGATGAAAGACAATTTTTATACCAATGGATCATTCTAGTTGTGAGGATTAGGTTCTTCAGTTTCACTGAACAATCTAGCTTTACCTATGCTTTTTCTAAACTAGGAAGTGTTGTACTCTGAGAGCATTGCTGGATTCCTTATACCAACAGGCCCCTGGTCCTTGGGACCTCTCTGGTATTTCACAGTGCTAGAACTCTGGTTAAAGGAAGGTTTGGCCTCTCTAAAACTTCTAAAACTCATATATTCTCTCATCTGTGTTTAGTCAGTGCTGAACAAGCCATCCCAGTCTTCTCATGGTGTGGCCTGCTTTACTTGTGACACACTAGTTGTCTTAGTTAGGGTTTCTATTGCTATGAAGAGACAACATGACCACAGAAACTTTTATGAGAACAACATTTAATTGTGGGGCTTCCAATTTCAGAGGTTTAGTCCATTAATCTTCATGGCAGGACATGGCAGCATGCAGGCAGTCATGGTGCTAGAGAAGGAGCTGAGAGTTCTACATCTTGACCTGCAGGCAACAGGAAGTGGTCTGAGACACTGGGTATAGCTTGAGCATAGGAGACCTCAAAGCCTGCCTCCACAATGACATACTTCCTCCCACAAGGCCACACCTCCTAATAATGCCACTCCCCGTGAGCTAATGAGGGCCAGTTATATTCAAACTACCCCACTAGTAAAGCAAAGACAGAACAATGAGAGTAGAGACAGCAGTGGCCGTCTGGCATTGCACTTCACATTACTGCAGTGCCACTGTGCTCTTTGCCCTTCTCCATCAGGACTGGGCAGGCGCGTCAGGCCTCTCTGTCAGGTTCTGAGGTATCATCAGGCGAGGCTGCCACCACCACCCAAGTGCTCAGTCTAGTCAGAGGCTGTGCCAATACAGCATGGCACAACTTTCTCCTGGTGTGTATCCTTAGGTGGGTTTGGAGGTCTCGTGGCTGTATAAGGTCTTCCTACACTTACAACAGGTGGACCTTTTCCATTGTGTGTTTGTCCACTGACCACTTCTGCCCCCTTTGGAAATCTGAAAGGTGTTTGAAGTCTGCCTGGAGTTGCTAAAGGGAGTTCTGTGTCTTCAGATGTTTTCTGCTTGACAACCAGCTCATTTTCTTGCTCTTGGTCTCCACATTTTTGACCTTGGGAAGGTATGGGTTATAGCTCAGTGCTAGAGTGTCTGCACAAGCCAAGGTTCATTCCCCAGGACACAGTCGGGGTGGGGAGCAACTTCGGATTCTTCATCTGAAATAAAAGAAATTTGTTAGCTATTCCCCATTCTGAGAGTGGGAGAGATGATTCAAACGAAGCTACTGTAAGCATGAATACCAGCAAAAGACTGCAAAGGGGCCCTGTTGTAGGAACCAGGGAAAACCAGGAGGGTGGGCTTGGCTAGGTGTAGAAGTCTGGTAGATGTTTAGATAGGAAGGACACCACAATGCAGAGAACTAGAGATCACCTAGAATGAAGATGAGCTGAGCTTTGAGACTTAGTCATAGAAAAGGGGCTTATTGAATAAAGCTTAAAAAGAAAAAGGGGGCAGAGACACGGCTCAGTGTCTAAGAGCACTTGTTCTTGTAGAGGCCCCAGATTTGATTCCCAGCACCCACATGGCAGTTCACAACCATCTGTAATTCCAGTTCTAGGGGATCCAACAGCTTCTTCTGATCTCTTTGGGCACTGGACACATACATGCAGACAAAAAAAAAAAAGTAAAAAACCCAAAGAATTGTACAGTATAATACCTGGGTTACAAGTTGGTAAGAGCAGTACCCTAATGCCAAACAAACAGTTGTTGCAGATAAAAAGTGTGAAGACCATGAACAACCTGATGGTGTAATACAGAAGACTCCCAGGAGGGAAAGAATGGGGTGAGTTGATC